TGATGGCTGAACGGGAGGAGAAACAAGCCTGGAGAAGAAAATCTAAAATTCAGCAATTGTTTTCTTCTTGGCCTGCTGGTGTCTGAACTCTTGTTGTTTCTGCATGAGGGAGGAGAATCAAGCCAGAAAATTCTACCAGAGACGAAAATCTGAAATGTGTGTTTTCTTCTTGGCCTGCTGATGGCTGAACGGAAGGAGAAACAAGCCTGGAGAAGAAAATCTCTTGGCCTGCTGATGGCTGAACGGAAGGAGAAACAAGCCTGGAGAAGAAAATCTCTTGGCCTGCTGGTGGCTGAACGGAAGGAGAAACAAGCCTGGAGAAGAAAATCTAAAATTCAGCACTTGTTTTCTTCTTGGCCTGCTGGTGTCTGAACTCTTGTTGTTTCTGCATGAGGGAGGAAAAACAAGCCAGAAAATTCTACCAGAGACGAAAATCTGAAATGTGTGTTTCCTTCTTGGCCTGCTGATGGCTGAACGGAAGAAGAAACAAGCCTGGAGAAGAAAATCTCTTGGCCTGCTGATGGCAGAAGGGAAGGAGAAACAAGCCTGGAGAAGAAAATCTCTTGGCCTGCTGATGGCTGAACGGAAGGAGAAACAAGCCTGGAGAAGAAAATCTAAAATTCAGCAATTGTTTTCTTCTTGGCCTGCTGGTGTCTGAACTCTTGTTGTTTCTGCATGAGGGAGGAGAAACAAGCCAGAAAATTCTACCAGAGACGAAAATCTGAAATGTGTGTTTTCTTCTTGGCCTGCTGATGGCTGAACGGAAGGAGAAACAAGCCTGGAGAGGAAAATCTCTTGGCCTGCTGATGGCTGAACGGAAGGAGAAACAAGCCTGGAGAAGAAAATCTAAAATTCAGCAATTGTTTTCTTCTTGGCCTGCTGGTGTCTGAACTCTTGTTGTTTCTGCATGAGGGAGGAGAAACAAGCCATAAAATTCTACCGGAGACGAAAATCTGAAATGTGTGTTTTCTTCTTGGCCTGCTGATGGCTGAACGGAAGGAGAAACAAGCCTGGAGAAGAAAATCTCTTGGCCTGCTGATGGCTGAATGGAAGGAGAAACAAGCCTGGAGAAGAAAATCTCTTCGCCTGCTGATGGCTGAACGGAAGGAGAAACAAGCCTGGAGAAGAAAATCTCTTGGCCTGCTGATGGCTGAACGGAAGAAGAAACAAGTCTGGAGAAGAAAATCTAAAATTCAGGAATTGTTTTCTTCTTGGCCTGCTGGTGTCTGAACTCTTGTTGTTTCTGCATGAGGGAGGAGAAACAAGCCAGAAAATTCTACCAGAGACGAAATCTGAAATGTGTGTTTTCTTCTTGGCCTGTTGACGGCTGAACGGAAGGAGAAACAAGCCTGGAGAAGAAAATCTAAAATTCAGCAATTGTTTTCTTCTTGGCCTGCTGGTGTCTGAACTCTTGTTGTTTCTGCATGAGGGAGGAGAATCAAGCCAGAAAATTCTACCAGAGACGAAAATCTGAAATGTGTGTTTTCTTCTTGGCCTGCTGATGGCTGAACGGAAGGAGAAACAAGCCTGGAGAAGAAAATCTCTTGGCCTGCTGATGGCTGAACGGAAGGAGAAACAAGCCTGGAGAAGAAAATCTCTTGGCCTGCTGGTGGCTGAACGGAAGGAGAAACAAGCCTGGAGAAGAAAATCTAAAATTCAGCACTTGTTTTCTTCTTGGCCTGCTGGTGTCTGAACTCTTGTTGTTTCTGCATGAGGGAGGAAAAACAAGCCAGAAAATTCTACCAGAGACGAAAATCTGAAATGTGTGTTTCCTTCTTGGCCTGCTGATGGCTGAACGGAAGAAGAAACAAGCCTGGAGAAGAAAATCTCTTGGCCTGCTGATGGCAGAAGGGAAGGAGAAACAAGCCTGGAGAAGAAAATCTCTTGGCCTGCTGATGGCTGAACGGAAGGAGAAACAAGCCTGGAGAAGAAAATCTAAAATTCAGCAATTGTTTTCTTCTTGGCCTGCTGGTGTCTGAACTCTTGTTGTTTCTGCATGAGGGAGGAGAAACAAGCCAGAAAATTCTACCAGAGACGAAAATCTGAAATGTGTGTTTTCTTCTTGGCCTGCTGATGGCTGAACGGAAGGAGAAACAAGCCTGGAGAAGAAAATCTAAAATTCAGCAATTGTTTTCTTCTTGGCCTGCTGGTGTCTGAACTCTTGTTGTTTCTGCATGAGGGAGGAGAAACAAGCCAGAAAATTCTACCAGAGACGAAAATCTGAAATGTGTGTTTTCTTCTTGGCCTGCTGATGGCTGAACGGAAGGAGAAACAAGCCTGGAGAAGAAAATCTCTTGGCCTGCTGATGGCTGAACGGAAGGAGAAACAAGCCTGGAGAAGAAAATCTAAAATTCAGCAATTGTTTTCTTCTTGGCCTGCTGGTGTCTGAACTCTTGTTGTTTCTGCATGAGGGAGGAGAAACAAGCCAGAAAATTCTACCGGAGACGAAAATCTGAAATGTGTGTTTTCTTCTTGGCCTGCTGATGGCTGAACGGAAGGAGAAACAAGCCTGGAGAAGAAAATCTCTTGGCCTGCTGATGGCTGAACGGAAGGAGAAACAAGCCTGGAGAAGAAAATCTCTTGGCCTGCTGGTGGCTGAACGGAAGGAGAAACAAGCCTGGAGAAGAAAATCTCTTGGCCTGCTGATGGCTGGACGGAAGAAGAAACAAGTCTGGAGAAGAAAATCTAAAATTCAGGAATTGTTTTCTTCTTGGCCTGCTGGTGTCTGAACTCTTGTTGTTTCTGCATGAGGGAGGAGAAACAAGCCCGAAAATTCTACCAGTGACGAAATCTGAAATGTGTGTTTTCTTCTTGGCCTGTTGACGGCTGAACGGAAGGAGAAACAAGCCTGGAGAAGAAAATCTAAAATTCAGCAATTGTTTTCTTCTTGGCCTGCTGGTGTCTGAACTCTTGTTGTTTCTGCATGAGGGAGGAGAAACAAGCCAGAAAATTCTACCAGGGACGAAATCTGAAATGTGTGTTTTCTTCTTGGCCTGCTGATGGCTGAACGGAAGGAGGAACAAGCCTGGAGAAGAAAATCTCTTGGCCTGCTGATGGCTGAACGGAAGGAGAAACAAGCCTGGAGAAGAAAATCTCTTGGCCTGCTGATGGCTGAACGGAAGGAGAAACAAGCCTGGAGAAGAAAATCTAAAATTCAGCAATTGTTTCTTCTTGGCCTGCTGGTGTCTGAACTCTTGTTGTTTCTGCATGAGGGAGGAGAAACAAGCCAGAAAATTCTACCAGGGACGAAAGTCTGAAAATTAATGTGTGTTTTCTTCTTGGCCTGCTGATGGCTGAACGGAATGAGAAACAAGCCTAGAGAAGAAAATCTCTTGGCCTGCTGATGGCTGAACGGAAGGAGAAACAAGCCTGGAGAAGAAAATCTCTTGGCCTGCTGATGGCTGAACGGAAGGAGAAACAAGCCTGGAGAAGAAAATCTCTTGGCATGCTGATGGCTGAACGGAAGGAGAAACAAGCCTGGAGAAGAAAATCTAAAATTCAGCAATTGTTTTCTTCTTGGCCTGCTGGTGTCTGAACTCTTGTTGTTTCTGCATGAGGGAGGAGAAACTAGCCAGAAAATTCTACCAGAGACGAAAATCTGAAAATTAATGTGTGTTTTCTTCTTGGCCTGCTGATGGCTGAACGGAAGGAGAAACAAGCCTAGAGAAGAAAATCTCTTGGCCTGCTGATGGCTGAACGGAAGGAGAAACAAGCCTGGAGAAGAAAATCTAAAATTCAGCAATTGTTTTCTTCTTGGCCTGCTGGTGTCTGAACTCTTGTTGTTTCTGCATGAGGGAGGAGAAACAAGCCAGAAAATTCTACCAGAGACGAAAATCTGAAATGTGTGTTTTCTTCTTGGCCTGCTGATGGCTGAACGGAAGGAGAAACAAGCCTGGAGAAGAAAATCTCTTGGCCTGCTGATGGCTGAACGGAAGGAGAAACAAGCCTGGAGAAGAAAATCTCTTGGCCTGCTGATGGCTGAACGGAAGGAGAAACAAGCCTGGAGAAGAAAATCTAAAATTCAGCAATTGTTTTCTTCTTGGCCTGCTGGTGTCTGAACTCTTGTTGTTTCTGCATGAGGGAGGAGAAACAAGCCAGAAAATTCTACCAGAGACGAAAATCTGAAATGTGTGTTTTCTTCTTGGCCTGCTGATGGCTGAACGGGAGGAGAAACAAGCCTGGAGAAGAAATTTTAAAATTCAGCAATTGTTTTCTTCTTGTTCTGCTGGTGTCTGAACTCTTGTTGTTTCTGCATGGGGGAGGAGAAACAAGCCAGAAAATTCTACCAGAGACGAAAATCTGAAAATTAATGTGTGTTTTCTTCTTGGCCTGCTGATGGCTGAACGGAAGGAGAAACAAGCCTGGAGAAGAAAATCTCTTGGCCTGCTGATGGCTGAACGGAAGGAGAAACAAGCCTGGAGAAGAAAATCTCTTGGCCTGCTGATGGCTGAACGGAAGGAGAAACAAGCCTGGAGAAGAAAATCTCTTGGCCTGCTGATGGCTGAACGGAAGGAGAAACAAGCCTGGAGAAGAAAATCTCTTGGCCTGCTGATGGCTGAACGGAAGGAGAAACAAGCCTGGAGAAGAAAATCTAAAATTCAGCAATTGTTTTCTTCTTGGCCTGCTGGTGTCTGAACTCTTGTTGTTTCTGCATGAGGGAGGAGAAACAAGCCAGAAAATTCTACCAGAGACGAAAATCTGAAATGTGTGTTTTCTTCTTGGCCTGCTGATGGCTGAACGGAAGGAGAAACAAGCCTAGAGAAGAAACTCTCTTGGCCTGCTGATGGCTGAACGGAAGGAGAAACAAGCCTGGAGAAGAAAATCTCTTGGCCTGCTGGTGGCTGAACGGAAGGAGAAACAAGCCTGGAGAAGAAAATCTAAAATTCTGGCCATCCCAAACCCCTCCCCCTCCCGGAATGATTACCTTTATAGCCTGCCCTGGCTCTGAACTTCACACCTGAAGCGACTGGTCTCAGCCAATCAGAGCCCAGCAAGTGTTTCCTTCTTGTTGGCTTGAAAAACAAGCCGTAAAATTCTATCAGAGAAGAAAATCCAAACTTCTCCGGAGAGAAAAGGAAACAACAAACATTTGAATTCTCTTCTCTGGCTTGCTGGAAGGAGTTCAGCCATTAGCAAGCCGGAGAAGAGAATTATAAAATTTTAATGTGAATTGTGTGAAGTAAATAGAGAAAAAGGTATCATTATTGTACTTAGCAAGTAAGGAACAAATCAAAGGAGTAAACTAGGGCTTGAGAATCTGTCGAGACAGCACAAAAATTAATATCAAGGTGCGATTTATTACAATAAAAAAGGCTGACCATGGCAAAAACGGAGTTGAAAGTGCAAGAATCAAGCCAAACTCTCCGCCCCACCATTGATAGGACCAATGTTTTTCTCTTCAGTTTCATCCATCAGGTCATACGTATCAGCATTGCGTTTCATACGTACAAGCAGAGCTGCAAACGTTGCAAGCAGCAGCAGACCACCAAAGCTCACACCCACACCAATAGCAATACCAGAGGTCTTGGATTCACTGCCTGATGATCTCTTGCAGAGCTCTGCTGATACTAGCGCACATTTTGGCACAGTCCCGGTGTTGGTTGTTGGCGTTGGTCCGGGCTTGCTTGTTGTGGCAGCTGAAGAGCAACACGTAGAATAGACACAAAAACCCATGAGCCTGATGATGCACGCCCAGTCCTATTAAGCACAAACACTACAAGTATTCGACCCCGGTAAAAAAATACAATCATACCACAGTACTTCTAAGTACCCGGACATCGACATGCGGCACATATACGCAGCGCCAAATATTTCAGCGCCATACTTCAACGCCAGCAGATAAGCGCTGAATATCTCAGCGCCAAATACATCAGCGCAACCAATCTCAGCGCCACATATCTCAGCACCAATTTATTTATATAGTACAGTGCTGACAACTGAAATCCGCCAAGGGGGTGGGGGTCGGAGGGGGTCCGCCATGGGGGTGGGGGTCGGAGGGGGTCCGCCAAGGGGGTGGGGGTCGGAGGTGGTCCGCCAAGGGGGTAGGGGTCGGAGGGGGTCCGCCAAGGAGGTGGGGGTCGGAGGGGGTCCGCCAAGGGGGTGGGGGTCGGAGGGGGTCCGCCAAGGGGGTCCGCCAAGGGGGTCCGCCAAGGGGGTGGGGGTCGGATTTCAGTTGCCAGCACTGTACCCTCCATGCCCCATGCACATGTGCCCTCCATGCCCCATGCACATGTACCCTCCATGCCCCATGCACATGTACCCTCCATGCCCCATGCACATGTACCCTCCATGCCCCATGCACATGTACCCTCCGCGCCCCATGCACATGTACCCTCCATGCCCCATGCACATGTACCCTCCATGCCCCTTGCACATGCACATGTACCCTCCGTGCCAAGTTACCCCAGCCTCCACAGGAGGAGACCCACATCGCGTAACTTCGTGAAGTAGCAAGTATCCTGCCATTCCGAACAACCATGCCGACATGGGTATTATACCGGAGGCTCTGAAGTAAAAAAAACCCACACTGACCAGTGGTTCCTCCTCAAGAACATGCTACCCTCGGCCGGGTTTACTACCGAGCCATCGACTGTAATGATGATGACAATCATTCGGATTCCGTTCCATTTCTTGCACATTATTTTCTTCATAATAATAGTCGCACAAATGTAAGTTGCCTGCTCGTGGTGCGACTTTAAGTAAAGGTACAACAACAACTGTACAAGTATCGTCTTCGCGCTGGACTTGATCGCGCTGGACTTGCTCGCGCTGGACTTGATCGCGCTGGACCTGATCGCGCTGGACTTGATCGCGCTATACTTGATCGCGCTGGACTTGATCGCGCTGGACATGATCGCGCTGGACAAGATCGCGCTGGACTTGATCGCGCTGGACTTGATCGCGCTGGACTTGATCGCGCTGGACTTGATCGCGCTGGACTTGATCGCGCTGGACATGATCGCGCTGGACATGATCGCGCTGGACTTGATCGCGCTCGACTTGATCGCGCTGGACTTGATCGCGCTGGACTTGATCGCGCTGTACTTGATCGCGCTGGACTTGATCGCGCTGGACTTGATCGCGCTGGACTTGATCGCGCTGGACTTGATCGCGCTGGACTTGATCGCGCTGGACTTGATCGCGCTGGACTTGATCGCGCTGGACTTGATCGCGCTGGACTTGATCGCGCTGGACTTGATCGCGCTATACTTGATCGCGCTATACTTGATCGCGCTGGACTTGATCGCGCTGGACTTGATCGCGCTGGACTTGATCGCGCTGGACTTGATCGCGCTGGACTTGATCGCGCTGGACTTGATCGCGCTGGACTTGATCGCGCTCGACATGATCGCGCTCGACATGATCGCGCTCGACATGATCGCTGGACTTGATCGCGCTGGACTTGATCGCGCCGGACTTGTTCGCGCCGGACATGATCGCGCCGCACATGATCGCGCCGCACATGATCGCGCCGGACTTGATCGCGCCGGACTAGATCGCGCCGGACAAGATCGCGCCGGACAAGATCGCGCCGGACAAGATCGCGCCGGACAAGATCGCGCCGGACAAGATCGCGCCGGACTTGATCGCGCCGGACTTGATCGCGCCGGACTTGATCGCGCCGGACTTGATCGCGCCGGACTTGATCGCGCCGGACTTGATCGCGCCGGACTTGATCGCGCCGGACTTGATCGCGCCGGACTTGATCGCGCCGGACTTGATCGCGCCGGACTTGATCGCGCCGGACTTGATCGCGCCGGACTTGATCGCGCCGGACTTGATCGCGCTGTACTTGATCGCGCTGGACTTGATCGCGCCGGACTTGATCGCCGGACTTGATCGCGCTGGACTTGATCACGCTGGACTTGATCTCGCTGGACTTGATCGCGCTGGACTTGATCGCGCTGGACTTGATCGCGCTGGACTTGATCGCGCTGTACTTGATCGCGCTGGACTTGATCGCGCTGGACTTGATCGCGCTGGCCTTTATCGCGCTGGACTTGATTGCGCTGGACTTGATCGCGCCGGACTTGATCGCGCCGGACTTGATCGCGCCGGACTTGATCGCGCCGGACTTGATCGCGCCGCACATGATCGCGCCGCACATGATCGGACTTGATCGCGCTGGACTTGATCGCGCTGGACATGATCGCTGGACTTGATCGCGCTGGACTTGATCGCGCCGGACATGATCGCGCCGCACATGATCGCGCCGGACATGATCGCGCCGGACTTGATCGCGCCGGACTAGATCGCGCCGGACTTGATCGCGCCGGACTTGATCGCGCCGGACTTGATCGCGCCGGACTTGTTCGCGCCGGACTTGTTCGCGCCGGACTTGATCGCGCCGGACTTGATCGCGCCGGACTTGATCGCGCCGGACTTGATCGCGCCGGACTTGATCGCGCCGGACTTGATCGCGCCGCACTTGATCGCGCCGGACATGATCGCTGGACTTGATCGCGCTGGACTTGATCGCGCTGGACTTGATCGCGCCGGACTTGATCGCGCCGGACATGATCGCGCCGCACATGATCGCGCCGGACTTGATCGCGCCGGACTAGATCGCGCCGGACAAGATCGCGCCGGACTTGATCGCGCCGGACTTGATCGCGCCGGACTTGTTTGCGCCGGACTTGATCGCGCCGGACTTGATCGCGCCGGACTTGATCGCGCCGGACTTGATCGCGCCGGACTTGATCGCGCCGCACTTGATCGCGCCGGACTTGATCGCGCCGGACTTGATCGCGCCGGACTTGATCGCGCCGGACTTGATCGCGCCGGACTTGATCGCGCCGGACATGGTCGCGCCGGACATGGTCGCGCCGGACATGGTCGCGCCGGACTTGGTCGCGCCGGACATGGTCGCGCCGGACTTGGTCGCGCCGGACTTGGTCGCGCCGGGCTTGATCGCGCCGGACTTGATCGCGCCGGACATGATCGCGCCGGACTTGATCGCGCTATACTTGATCTCGCTGGACTTGATCGCGCTGGACTTGATCGCGCTGGACTTGATCGCGCTGGACATGATCGCGCTGGACTTGATCGCGCTGGACATGATCGCGCTGGACATGATCGCGCTCGACTTGATCGCGCTGGACTTGATCGCGCTGGACTTGATCGCGCTATACTTGATCGCGCTGGACTTGATCGCGCTGGACTTGATCGCGCTGGACTTGATCGCGCTGGACTTGATCGCGCTGGACTTGATCGCGCTGGACTTGATCGCGCTGGACTTGATCGCGCTGGACTTGATCGCGCTGGACTTGATCGCGCTATACTTGATCGCGCTATACTTGATCGCGCTATACTTGATCGCGCTGGACTTGATCGCGCTGGACTTGATCGCGCTGGACTTGATCGCGCTGGACTTGATCGCGCTGGACTTGATCGCGCTGGACTTGATCGCGCTGGACTTGATCGCGCTCGACATGATCGTGCTCGACATGATCGCTGGACTTGATCGCGCTGGACTTGATCGCGCTGGACTTGATCGCGCCGGACTTGTTCGCGCCGGACATGATCGCGCCGCACATGATCGCGCCGCACATGATCGCGCCGGACTTGATGGCGCCGGACTAGATCGCGCCGGACAAGATCGCGCCGGACAAGATCGCGCCGGACAAGATCGCGCCGGACAAGATCGCGCCGGACAAGATCGCGCCGGACTTGATCGCGCCGGACTTGATCGCGCCGGACTTGATCGCGCCGGACTTGATCGCGCCGGACTTGATCGCGCCGGACTTGATCGCGCCGGACTTGATCGCGCCGGACTTGATCGCGCCGGACTTGATCGCGCCGGACTTGATCGCGCCGGACTTGATCGCGCCGGACTTGATCGCGCCGGACTTGATCGCGCCGGACTTGATCGCGCTGTACTTGATCGCGCTGGACTTGATCGCGCTGGACTTGATCGCGCTGGACTTGATCGCGCTGGACTTGATCGCGCTGGACATGATCGCCGGACTTGATCGCGCTGGACTTGATCGCGCTGGACTTGATCTCGCTGGACTTGATCGCGCTGGACTTGATCGCGCTGGACTTGATCGCGCTGTACTTGATCGCGCTGGACTTGATCGCGCTGGACTTGATCGCGCTGGACTTGATCGCGCTGGCCTTTATCGCGCTGGACTTGATTGCGCTGGACTTGATTGCGCTGGACTTGATCGCGCCGGACTTGATCGCGCCGGACTTGATCGCGCCGGACTTGATCGCGCCGCACATGATCGCGCCGCACATGATCGCGCCGCACATGATCGGACTTGATCGCGCTGGACTTGATCGCGCTGGACATGATCGCTGGGCTTGATCGCGCTGGACTTGATCGCGCCGGACTTGATCGCGCCGGACTTGATCGCGCCGGACATGATCGCGCCGGACATGATCGCGCCGCACATGATCGCGCCGCACATGATCGCGCCGCACATGATCGCGCCGGACTAGATCGCGCCGGACTTGATCGCGCCGGACTTGATCGCGCCGGACTTGATCGCGCCGGACTTGATCGCGCCGGACTTGATCGCGCCGGACTTGATCGCGCCGGACTTGATCGCGCCGGACTTGATCGCGCCGGACTTGATCGCGCCGGACTTGATCGCGCCGGACTTGATCGCGCTGGACATGATCGCTGGACTTGATCGCGCTGGACTTGATCGCGCTGGACTTGATCGCGCCGGACTTGATCGCGCCGGACATGATCGCGCCGCACATGATCGCGCCGGGCTTGATCGCGCCGGACTAGATCGCGCCGGACAAGATCGCGCCGGACTTGATCGCGCCGGACTTGTTCGCGCCGGACTTGATCGCGCCGGACTTGATCGCGCCGGACTTGATCGCGCCGGACTTGATCGCGCCGGACTTGATCGCGCCGCACTTGATCGCGCCGGACTTGATCGCGCCGGACTTGATCCAGAGGACTTGATCGCGCCGGACTTGAACGCGCCGGACTTGATCGCGCCGGACTTGATCGCGCCGGACATGGTCGCGCCGGACTTGGTCGCGCCGGACATGGTCGCGCCGGACTTGGTCGCGCCGGACTTGGTCGCGCCGGAATTGATCGCGCTGGACTTGATCGCGCTGGACTTGATCGCGCTGGACTTGATCGCGCTATACTTGATCGCGCTGGACTTGATCGCGCTGGACTTGATCGCGCTGGACTTGATCGCGCTGGACTTGATCGCGCTGGACATGATCGCGCTGGACTTGATCGCGCTGGACTTGATCGCGCTGGACATGATCGCGCTGGACTTGATCGCGCTGGACTTGATCGCGCTGGACTTGATCGCGCTGGACTTGATCACGCTGGACTTTTATCGCGCTGGACATGATCGCGCTAGACTTGATCGCGCTGGACATGATCGCGCTGGACATGATCGCGCTAGACATGATCGCGCTGGACTTGATCGCGCTGGACTTAATCGCGCTGGACTTGATCGCGCTGGACATGATCGGGCTGGACATTATCGCGCTGGACTTGATCGCGCTGGACTTGAACGCGCTGGACATGATCGCGCTGGACTTGATCGCGCTGGACTTGATCACGCTGTCGATTAATGCACCTTCCTTTTTCACGCTGAGTTGCTGGCGCTGAACTTAACTGCGCTGTAAGTTAGTGCGCTGAAGAAGCTGGCGCTATGAAATCAGGCACCACAGTACTGGTGCTGAAATGTATCGCTCTGAAATAATGGCACTGAAGTTGCAAGCTCCCCTCCCCCCCCCCCCCCCCCTCCACCCCCCCCCCCCCCCCCCTACCACTGCCCAGAGCCCCCAACTCTGAACAGGCTCAACTTGGAGCTGTTTGAATGGCATGAGACAATTACTGATCATCATCAGCAGCAGCAGCAGCAATAGCAATAGCACGTACCAGCAGTGGTGACAGAGGAATGGACAGCAGTGGTGACACCATCGGTTAGGTATGGTCCAAGAATACCAGGTTTCTGCAATACTGGATCCAGGTCTGGGTCACGTGTTGTCGTCATGTGTCGGTTAGAATACCGGAAGGGAGCAACAGGACACATGTGTTGAGTGGTTGAGCAATGACACACACACACAGGCATAGTAACCATACACATAGCAACCGCACATGCAGCAGCATTGTAACAGCATATTATAGGCATAGCAAACAGCACAAAACGCATTCACACACACACACACACACACACACACACACACACACACACACACACACACACACACACACACACACACACACACACACACACACACACATGCACACACACATACACATGCACACACGAATGCACACACACACACACACACACGAATGCACACACACACACACACACACACACACACACACTCGCACACACATGCACTCGCACTCGCACACAAACACACTCACACGCTCTCACACACACACACACACACGCTCACCAACACGCTCACACAAACACACACATTGTTGAGCAACAGGACATACAGGTATAATTGAGCAACACCGGCATCACACAGACATGACATAGGTTAGCTACAGAACCTTACTGAACTGGTCTCCTTGCAGATGTAGTAACTACACAACCTGCAGTAGTCTAAGAATCAGGGGAGGGGGTCAGCAATCCCAATATGACTACTGCAATTCCCTAAGCTGAAGAGAACATGCTTTTTGGTTCTTATTGCGACATACCGGGACAAGCCGAGGCTGCAAATCCAATTCGTTTCTCTTCACGATCAAAGACGACGTAGTATCCTTCCAACAGTCCTGTGCCGAAAACAAGGGCATCTGCCAAGAACAAAAAGATGTGCAAATATCATCCCTGCCATTGTCCTGAGATAAACCTGCGTTAGCCGGACCGTGTACCCAGCGGAATCCGGTAGTGACCGGACAAATGTTCATGTACGAGAGTGCTGTGGATCGAACGTGCATCCCTGGACCATGCGGAATCCTGTGACAGTTCCTCTGCACCAAGGGCAGGTTTTACTGTACTTAAAAAAATGCATGGGTTTGCGTACAGGGCGGGTCAAGAACCACCTTTCCGCTTCCGTGGGACACCACCACCCAATGATCAGGCGTCAGATGCGGCTCCTACACGGTGGGGGAGGATAGATCAGATCCACCAACCAGAGGCCAAAGGCCGAGATCGCATTTGCCGCTTCCATGTACATGTACTTCAAAGCACGGGTGTAATTCTGATAATTCCAGCACCAAACTGACAGGAAAGGCTTCAAGGAAAAGAGCCATCCAAAACTCCATTCTTGAAGAGAAGTGCAGCTCACCGATGTGTGGACTCTTTGCAGTCTCAAATTTGCTTTTTATGCTGGCAAATTTAGAACATGCAGGTATGGAAGCCTCTTGACAAAATTTGAAGAAGGGCAATATACGCATAATCATTATACGAATATTGAGTACATGTTTGTGCAATACAGTATAAAAACATGTAAAGACGCAAAGACGTTTCTATCAGTTTGAATAACACGCATCATGGCATGATCACCTACAGTTTAGGTAGACACCAAGCATAGCGAGGACGTTGGCCTGTCATGCCCTCTCGTTCCTTTTTTTAAGTTAGCAAAAGAAACTTCAACTCAACTCTAACTTAAAAAATTCTACCAAGAAGTTACATCACGCTATGGCCCTAGCTTTTCTCCTTTTTGACTTTCTCACATAGCATGGGGTTCAAACCCGCCCTATCACCCTGCTTCCATTCCATCGATACACACCGCATATTCAGACACATTCTACCAAGTTGCTTCGCGTTGTTGTCCTGCCGTTGAAAGCACTATTCGAATATATGACCAGAATTCTTTTATGGTACGGTACGAGACATTTATGGGATAGCACGCCAGGCATGGCGTGTCACGTGGTGACACCCCGACGCCACAACAACAACAACACATGCACGCACGCACACACATTAACACGCTTTGGACTTTGTCTAGCGCCAGACACTACTAAAGTAACGTATTTTGTATAGCTTCGGGAATAAGTAAATTTCCGTGTCCTTTCCCAAGGTCGCTCACGATGACCCGCCTGGGGCCAAGTGCCATCAGTGTCGACCAGTAATTGCAATGGCAGTAGTGCTTACCATTATCAGATGCTGAGATAGAGAACCGATAGCATTTTCGTGGAGCGCTCGAAACTCTGGTGGGGACCAGATACAGCTGCATGTCAAGCATTAAAATTATTAGAGCAGCAGATGGACAAAACACACATTTTAGGTATGCAATCGGCAGACAGCATGCTGTTTCATCCTTTGTTGACTCATCAGCGCAGCACAGAGACAATTAGGCCGAACCTGGTATCAATGAAAAAAATATTTTTTTCCAAAGCCAAGTTTAAGCCCGGCCCAAACAGACCTTGCTAGATAGAGTTAGATATCAGTGGTGACCTCCAAATGGGCGGCACCTGCTTGGATGTTTGACCTGAATACTTTGAAGTGCCTAAGATGATCTACTGTGCTATGACAATGATACGAAGTAGTGGTTGCGACTTCGGCGATGACTTGTAAGAAAGGTTTGCTCCCCACACCGGAGCTCGCGCTATTCCGCCGACTTTACTTGACACTTGACTGACTCACGACTGCCATCCCGAGCACACGAGAAGTCCATCGAACCTTCGACTCGGCAAACCTGCAAGAAAGCACCACTCCCTGCTCAATACACAGTGTTTCGGGGAATTCACCCCTCATCAGTTGAGCTTGAGTAGGCTGAGGAAGATTGTGCCTGAAGAGCACCACTTATATAGTGTTCTCCAGGCACAAACATCACCAGGGATACAAACTTACAGAGACGCTCTGTTTCCAGCGCGACAAACACCTCGTGAACACCAGATAGCAGCGTGAGTCAGTGTCGCTCCTGGACGGTAAGACAGACGTCGAGGACCCTCGGTCATTCGCAACGCTGTCACCTCCAAACCAACTAGTCGCAAGCCCGCGCTGGGCACAACAGTACGAAGTAGTGGTTGCGACTTCGGCGATGACTTGTAAGAAAGGTTTGCTCCCCACACCGGAGCTCGCGCTATTCCGCCGACTTTACTTGACACTTGACTGACTCACGACTGCCATCCCGAGCACACGAGAAGTCCATCGAACCTTCGACTCGGCAAACCTGCAAGAAAGCACCACTCCCTGCTCAATACACAGTGTTTCGGGGAATTCACCCCTCATCAGTTGAGCTTGAGTAGGCTGAGGAAGATTGTGCCTGAAGAGCACCACTTATATAGTGTTCTCCAGGCACAAACATCACCAGGGATACAAACTTACAGAGACGCTCTGTTTCCAGCGCGACAAACACCTCGTGAACACCAGATAGCAGCGTGAGTCAGTGTCGCTCCTGGACGGTAAGACAGACGTCGAGGACCCTCGGTCATTCGCAACGCTGTCACCTCCAAACCAACTAGTCGCAAGCCCGCGCTGGGCACAACAGTACGAAGTAGTGGTTGCGACTTCGGCGATGACTTGTAAGAAAGGTTTGCTCCCCACACCGGAGCTCGGAGTCATCGCCGAAGTCGCAACCACTACTTCGTACTGTTGTGCCCAGCGCGGGCTTGCGACTAGTTGGTTTGGAGGTGACAGCGTTGCGAATGACCGAGGGTCCTCGACGTCTGTCTTACCGTCCAGGAGCGACACTGACTCACGCTGCTATCTGGTGTTCACGAGGTGTTTGTCGCGCTGGAAACAGAGCGTCTCTGTAAGTTTGTATCCCTGGTGATGTTTGTGCCTGGAGAACACTATATAAGTGGTGCTCTTCAGGCACAATCTTCCTCAGCCTACTCAAGCTCAACTGATGAGGGGTGAATTCCCCGAAACACTGTGTATTGAGCAGGGAGTGGTGCTTTCTTGCAGGTTTGCCGAGTCGAAGGTTCGATGGACTTCTCGTGTGCTCGGGATGGCAGTCGTGAGTCAGTCAAGTGTCAAGTAAAGTCGGCGGAATAGCGCGAGCTCCGGTGTGGGGAGCAAACCTTTCTTACAAGTCATCGCCGAAGTCGCAACCACTACTTCGTACTGTTGTGCCCAGCGCGGGCTTGCGACTAGTTGGTTTGGAGGTGACAGCGTTGCGAATGACCGAGGGTCCTCGACGTCTGTCTTACCGTCCAGGAGCGACACTGACTCACGCTGCTATCTGGTGTTCACGAGGTGTTTGTCGCGCTGGAAACAGAGCGTCTCTGTAAGTTTGTATCCCTGGTGATGTTTGTGCCTGGAGAACACTATATAAGTGGTGCTCTTCAGGCACAATCTTCCTCAGCCTACTCAAGCTCAACTGATGAGGGGTGAATTCCCCGAAACACTGTGTATTGAGCAGGGAGTGGTGCTTTCTTGCAGGTTTGCCGAGTCGAAGGTTCGATGGACTTCTCGTGTGCTCGGGATGGCAGTCGTGAGTCAGTCAAGTGTCAAGTAAAGTCGGCGGAATAGCGCGAGCTCCGGTGTGGGGAGCAAACCTTTCTTACAAGTCATCGCCGAAGTCGCAACCACTACTTCGTACTGTTGTGCCCAGCGCGGGCTTGCGACTAGTTGGTTTGGAGGTGACAGCGTTGCGAATGACCGAGGGTCCTCGACGTCTGTCTTACCGTCCAGGAGCGACACTGACTCACGCTGCTATCTGGTGTTCACGAGGTGTTTGTCGCGCTGGAAACAGAGCGTCTCTGTAAGTTTGTATCCCTGGTGATGTTTGTGCCTGGAGAACACTATATAAGTGGTGCTCTTCAGGCACAATCTTCCTCAGCCTACTCAAGCTCAACTGATGAGGGGTGAATTCCCCGAAACACTGTGTATTGAGCAGGGAGTGGTGCTTTCTTGCAGGTTTGCCGAGTCGAAGGTTCGATGGACTTCTCGTGTGCTCGGGATGGCAGTCGTGAGTCAGTCAAGTGTCAAGTAAAGTCGGCGGAATAGCGCGAGCTCCGGTGTGGGGAGCAAACCTTTCTTACTATGACAATGATGTCTGAAAATGTGAATTTAAAACAAACTGAGAAGATTCAGAAGAGACGAGTGTAGAAAGGAAAGGAAAATATGGACACGAGTTAAAAGAGTAACTGTCCACCACTGTATCTGGATACTGTGTACAGTCAGAAGGTGCTGTTGGTTAGGGCTTCGGAGGTGTGTTGCAGCTAGGTGTCAGGCCATTGAATGCCTCAGTCTCTGTCAGTTTTACGCCAGTTTTTTTCTAGTGGCTTTTTGACTGTAACAGTATTTAGTTACAGTACTGGACAGTTACTCTTATTAGCTCGTATCCATTTGCCACTTTCCTTTCTACATTTATTTTTGGCTCTACATCCGAGTTTCTAAGTTAGAACAGAATGCACTCTATACACAAGTTCTGTTTACGGGTCCGACCAGCACTCGTACCACAGACGTTTAAGGAAACCCTTTCCACGCTTGCTGCCATGCATGCTTGGATGTGGACTGAAGTGGGGGAAAGTGCAGGGGACTGCTGTGTGGCATGAATCATGCTCGTGGTATGTCTAGGTGGATCTTACCTGAGGTGTAACTGTAAGTAAAAATTCTTTCGGCTCGGCCAGATACCACACTGCCTGTGGTATAGCAATGCTGATGTTGGGAAAACCCCCAAACAGCTCACTGCTATTGGTGCCAATCGAGATGCAGCATGAAACCGATCCCCGCCAGAAATCATCACTTTGAGTGCAGAGAGCCACGGTTCTCCTGAAGTCACTGTCAGTCTGTGTACCATACAACACACATCCAATCAGTGGAACTGAAGTGATTTTGTTCTATTCTAGAACACCTATCTACCCCTTTCCAGTAGGTTTACACACTCACGGTCAGTGCATGCTGCTCACATGTCATAATTTTAAGATGTAAGTTCGATCGCTAGCAGAATCTATGACTGCTAGGTCTTAACATCCCATCGCACACGCACGCATGCACACACGCACGCACGCACACACACACACACACACACACACACACACACACACACACGCACACACTCTCTCTCACTCTCTCTCTCTCTCTCTCTCTCTCTCTCTCTCTCTCGGCATAATGTAATGTGACACCACTCGGCATCTTGCATGACTGTGTTGCTGTGTAGTGAGTGGATACCTTCTGCTACATGCAGCATGTGAGAAAGTAACAATGACTTGCAAGTTTCAAGTGGTTAGCGTGTACTCATATTTTCTGCTGGTCTTTCGAGAAACATCTTCTGGAAGAGCTTTGGAGAATCTACAAACATTTCGATATGAAAACTGTACACTTCTCCAGCTTTTTGCATCCTTTAAAATGGCCACCAATAAACTTTTAAATCATCGATTGGACTAATTAACACACATGATATTTGAGATACGTGTCTATCATAATGGGTTTTTTAAGAGGAATACGAAATGTGCCTTACACAGTGCAAGCATTTACTAACATTCATCATAGTTGAGTTTCTTATGCTGGACACAACCTGTTGATACAATCCAGTTGCGGGAAATCGGAGGCCGGTTGTAGCACTGTCCAGCACTGCAGTTAGCGTGGTGTTATTCGTCTGTAAAGTATTCACATGACATGTATGCCCAATAAACTCAGTAGAAAGAAAGGGTGTTCAGTTGTGTACCTCGTTCACTCTACTGTATAGCAAGCTCTGCCGTATATATGTACGGCATTGGACACTCTTGCGGCAGTGGAGCGGCACCGTGCTGGCGTGTTCACCCAATGGAGTACTGTAAACGCAGACATCTTCGGTGGTGTAATATTTTTAGTAAACCCGTTTTCCAGGTAACTGTACTAGTGCAGTACCGACATTTTCGGTGCGTTTTATTTTTCGTAAACATTTCGGCACCAAGGTTACCGAAAATGTCTGCTTTTACAGTATATAGTAGGAATAGTGGGATATTGGAACTGACAAGCATTCTGTACTGGGCACTTCCATCCATGACGAGACACGTCGCCTGACCTCGTCTCTCAGTGCTGCTCTCTCTCTGTCACTGCTTACCGGCATCACTGAGGTACAAGTTACATACAGTAAAATCTGACATGGCATGGTGCTCTGGGATGGTGCAGAGGATACCCCCCCCCCACCCCTGGTTTAATGCCTTAGATTACAATACAGTAAACAAAAAGTCAATAACAGCGCCCTCTACAAACAATGCGCAGCGCAACCGATCAGCCAGATCATAAAAGCAGCACGGTGGAGGCTGTTCGGGCACGTACTACGTCTGCCAGACGGATGTCCAGCTGTTATGGCAATGGAGAGTTGTTTCCATGTGCAAGCTTCTCCTTGGCGTGGCAGACCACTCACAACACTGCCGGTTGTCCTGTCGCGGGACCTCCGGGGTGCAGGGAGGCAAGGCATCACAGACTCGTCTGGCCTGCAATCCCTCAGAGACTTGTCGCGGGACCGCGGACAGTGGGATGCCTTGTGCCGCTCCGTCTGCGGCTGACATCGAGGATCACATAGTTCTGGGAACTCTGTCGTTCTTCCGGCACAGTGCAACACACACAGTGCAACAATCTTTCGTCCTGGCATTTGTTTGTCTGTTTAAAACTGTCATTTGTTGCAATACTCTGCCTTTCGGGCCTTGATGTTGTGCCTCGTGCTAGCTATTGGTCTGTTTTTCCTGACCCTTGTCATGTTGTCTATTGTTGGCTGTCCTCTTCCCGTCCTCTTCCCGTCCTCTTCCCGTCTTCTTCCCGTCCTCTTCCCGTCCTCTTCCCGTTCTCTTCCCGTCCATATCCATTCAGCATATGCGAATCTGAGGGCATTTATCATGTAGAAATTGCTGACATCGACGCGGAAATGCGATTAATAATAATAGTAAACAATACATACATGCTGTGGAGGTCTTACCCTAGGAAACACACCCATGCATCTCTATACATGCCTACCGTCACTGTTGCTGAATCATTGCTAGCCGTGGCCGTCACCTTTACTCCGTTGACAGCTATATGGTTGACAGCCACTACGTACAGTGTGGCCGGTACGTACGGAGTGTACAGAATTGGCCCAGTGTACAGCGACTTCAGGTTGTTACCCCATACCTGCGTACACATAAACCACAGCATTGAAAACCCAGCTTGGTAACCGTGGCAACAGAAGTGGCTACACAGCTCAGAAGCCAGTGCATGTAAGTGTAGATCAGAGAGTCACAGCAGTACAGTTGGTGGAGCTCAAGTGTTGTCAGCAGCCCAACTCGTCTTCTTCTACTACGGTTTAACCCTACTCTCTTGTATAAAAGCCTATTTCACAGAAGTTTGTTATGAGAGGTTGTATTCCTTGCCAGCCGAGTGCAGTGAGTGATTTCTCGTGCAACATTTTTCGGCTGCAAATATGGCACCCGGTGTGTTCTTCATCGTTATTTCCTTTCCTGGCTTCGTCAGTCACTGCGCACGTTTCTGAGTCTCACCAGTGTCCATGCCCTCCCACCCTTCATTTCTGTGCATCTTGATCTTGTTTTTTTCCCAGCTGTTTACTATGATGTGCTTTGCCATGCTTCCATGATGATAAACAGGCATGGGGGATATACACCCAGCTTTTCCCCTCACTACTGCGTCCATCTGCGCGATGTTTTTTCCCCGACTGGCACGGTCCAGGAAGAAAAAACCAAGCGGTAGAATGTTCCAGCTGTACTTCCTCCTCTGAATTAGCATGCAATAGCTCAGCCATGTTAGAAATATAGTCATCTGGGCATCTTTGAACAATTAATGCTATCTTTCTTAGAGAGACAGTTAAGAGTAGAGCCCACACTCTCTCTGCAATAATTCAACTCATTTCATAACGATTATTACAACATTTCGGCAAATTGCCTTCATCAGGTTCACAATGATGTGCAAGCTCTCAAACCAGCATTGACAAAGATCAACTCCGAAATGTTGTAATAATCATTATGAAATAAGTTGAATTATTTCTTCGTAGTAGACCTGGGATGTCGAATTAGTCCAGTCACTGTAACAGTAATTGTTTGCTGAGGTAAATCTCACACTAGAAATACACCCCCCGTAATCACTTGCCAGACACCTGCACAAGGATGGAAGCTATTATGGTCGAAGTTTGTTTGGAGGCCACACTTGATTGAACCAAGTCATTTTTTCAACCGATCTCTTTCTCCCGAGCGTTTTGATTTTTCATGTCAATTTTTGGTGTCACATAGGGTGCTCTAATTCTGACTGGCTAGGAGACGAGTGAAAATACCTGATGCTATTTCGGCTAAGCGCGACCATGCTATCCTTCACTTACGACGAATGCACTGAAACGTTATGTTTGGCAAGTACCCCCAGTACCTACACCAGCTTACCTTGCCAAACGGTGCTTTGTTGGCGAAAGGCAACCTGCTTTAGTTGGCTTGGAGACGAATCAGCTGCGGTATGAAAACCGCGGGAGACAGTGGTGGAGATACCTGGACGGTTTCCACCTTTTTGCAATGACTGGTGGTTCTTTTTAACTTCTTCTAGTCTGGTCACTTTCTGAGCTCTAAGCTGGCTCTTATGTTTGAATGGTCTGTTTGATGCTGTGTCCAATCAAAATCGGTTGTGGCGTTGTTGACTTTCGTAAGCAATATAACCCAATGTGTATGTTGTGACAGCGTTACAGAACAACAAGGGCAATCAAGGCGTGTTTGCTGCTACTTAATCAAGGTTTCATGCTTTCTCAATCACCAGTGGCAACAGGAGCATGGGGTACTGACCATGCTGGTGTATATGCCATGAGAGGGTGGGTTTTGTAGCGCTGTATGAAAAGCTGTGCGTGAATGTGGGGCTGTATAGGTTTCTGTATTACGCTCTGCCTCCGCGGTGCTCAGCACTTTCAGCACACTGAGTGTATCCTCCGGTGCATTACAAAAAAAAACCCACTCCCATGATATGAAACTCCCCTGCTTATCAAAGGCCCGTGGAAATTGGCTTCCTAGAAGAACATATCGAATAATCCTCTCAGCAAAGATTTCGAGTCGAATATAATAACAGACCATGAAATATGGTCGGCGGGTGGCCGTAATTAGGACAACAGTGTTGACCTACGAGCACCCGGGTCTACTGATTTCAATCTTTCACCCACCCACCCAGACAGTGAAGAATTTAAAAGCGTACAATTCCACAATACTGTGACGATAGCCACTGCCGCTAATTCGCATCACAATTTTCATTCTAAGGTGTTGGCCATGATCCCAGGCTGACCCGAATTATGAGTGAGTAGTGCTCGACTGTACCAGCACCAAAAACGCCCTTCCGAGGTGCAATATCCCCCCCCCCCCCCCCCCCCAGGCTATGGGAAATACCAAGCACTCAAACGTGTACAGCAATCAGCAATGCTACTTACTAAGTTTCCTTGAGTGGTAGTACTGCCTTGCTGTGAGACACCGCAGAGTTGCAAGGAGAACTTGTTAAAAAACACCCTGCCTACATCATAGAATGCACTGAACGTCGACTGATGGACTTGACCTCCCTGAGCCTATGAATCAAGCAGCATGATCGAAACAAGGAATATGACCAGTAATTCACCAGGCCACTCTGTATATCGCCAACATGTACTATACAGCCAACATGTACTATACAGCCAACATGTCCTGACACAACAAACACCATTGTGCAGGCAAACTCGGATGGTGAGTCAATTTAAATATGGAAAAAAGGAGAAAGACAAAAAAGTTATGAGTTATGACCAGCAGGAGAATAAGTTCTAAATAGCCGAAGGCCCAAAGTTCTTTATAGCAGAAATGCACTCATACCACAGAAGCAACACATTGTGACTGACATGTGACCAATGACTGTACGACTGTACTTCGTTTACATGTGATCCTGTAAGAAACGGTTTGTTACAAACGAAAATGGTTCGCCACAAAAGGCCAATGTCATATGGGTTCAGCAGGGATATGAACAGCGGATTGCTATAGCACGACATTCGCTATATGCAAGTTCATTATAAGTGGAGTCGACTACATTTTGCCCAGGTTGAGCCAGACTACGTGGTGGTGGTGCTAGTGTAGCGGGCCGCAGTCTCTCTCGGAGGCAAAAATACAAGGGTCTCAGTGAACAAAATGTAACTGACAATTGAAATGTACTGGCAACGAAATTAACTCGCAACTAAATTAACTAACTGGCTATACGTGAGCAGCAGCTTTAATACAAAGGCAGACTCCGTGCGCTAATGTACGGGGATACGCTAACGTATGGGGATACAGTACGGGGATATGCTAACGTACGGGAATACAGTAACATACGGGATATGCTAACGTACGGGAATACGCTATACGCTACACCTCCCCTCTCAAATACAATCACGTCCTCATGATTCGAATACTAGGTTATAGCTGGACACCAACCACTGGCTGCTATTTTAGAAAAAACTGGCGGCATGCATGGTCGCGTCGGAATAAACTCGAAGATAAGAGATAGGCAGAATGGTTGACTTGCATAATATAATACAGGTATGGAGTCGTGAACATTATAGTAGATCGCAAATTGCTGGGAGAGCGTCAAGCGGAGTATGGCAAATAATATCGGAAATGATAACGTTTGGAATAGACAGAAGAATGAACTGATAAACAAATCATAAAGTAGAAGCACACCAGGTTCACACGATCTCACGGGGTCAAAAGGGGAAAGAACTGTCCTCCAAATAGGACCTGAAAACCACAGCACGCTTGCTGCACAACGCTGGCACAACCCGCCAGGAACATCGCAGTTCAAAAACCGAACTGAATACACTATACCATATAATTATCACTATTCACTATACGGGGCATTGTCACACACATTGTCCCAGGTTAGCTGGGTAGACCGTGGCTCACCATGATCGGACGTCTACCAAACTAAACTGGATTCACACACTCGCATAAAGGAAGACTGAAGAAAACAGGGAGACTGAAGGAAGACAGGAAAGAAAATGCCATACCTGGAATCAGCGTTAGTAACCACGGCGGCGGCTGGAGCTATGGCGGAGGGCGAGCCAGGTTTTATCTTCATCTTGGTTGAGCCGGTCACTCAGAGCGGCTAGCTCGGCATCAGACAAATGACCTCCCTCCTCGTCTTGAATCGTGATCTTCACATTGTCGATAGAATCGCTTGGCGAAACGTAAAGAGTGATTGTCTAGCCAGGAAGATTGGTGACGAAAATCTGCATCCCACCACGGAGAAAAAGTACCAAGTGAATAGTGGACTCCTGCTGAACGTTGTGGTCACTCAGGGTTCGGCCGTCTGCCAACTGCGTGCCGTCAAAAATCAAACGCTGCTGGTCTTGGGGAATACCCTCCTTGTCTTGGTCAGCAGCCTGCATGTCGTCGTCCTCATCAGCTTCGCCATCACTACCGGTAGTATACATGTAGGTAGCGGGTCGCTTGGAATCGCCATCGGAGTCTCCAGTGAGTGCCGTGCGGAGAGAAGGGTGATCCACGCTAGCACCCTGACTGTGCTGCAGACTAATAAGCAGGGCCAAGCCCAGGAAGGCAAGAAACATGATTCTCATCTTGATTTGTCGCAGGGAGCTGCAGCAGGTTGGGCCATGGGGTCTGAGAAACGTGTAAAGTAACAAAGCTAGGTTTAGAATGAAACAAAATGAATTTACCGCTGCCACCAATTTGTAGCGGGCCGCAGTCTCTCTCGGAGGTAAAAATACAAGGGTCTCAGTGAACACACTGTCACTGACAATTGAAATGTACTGGCAACGAAATTAACTCGCAACTAAATTAACTAACTGGCTATACGTGAGCAGCAGCTTTAATACAAAGGCAGACTCCGTGCGCTAATGTACGGGGATGCGCTAACGTATGGGGATACAGTACGGAGATATGCTAACGTACGGGAATACAGTAACATACGGGATATGCTAACGTACGGGAATACGCTATACGCTACACTAGTACTTTATGACAACTGAGTTCCTATAGCTCTATGGCTGTACATGGTAGTCATCACACAGTCACTCTACAAAGGTTTACAAATATCAGCAGTACAATAGGACATTGGGGACAAGGAGGACAAATATGGCCCAGAAAGGTCGCATTTCTACACTTGCTGTGAAGCACAACTGCTTCATAGTACTTCCTCTGTGCAGTTCGTATCGGCTATAGGCTACCCTTTTGTTTTCAGTGTTTTCATCACAACAGTAAAACCTGGTGTACGCGACCTCCGGTTTTAGTGACCACCTGCTTTTAACCCTTTGGAGTCCATAACTTTTTTGCTTCCTCAGTATTTGTGGCCGTCACGAAAATGCGCACTCAATTTCCAACATAACTTTGGTTCTACTTAACCGATTTTGAAGATCTTGGGCTCGTTGGAAAGCTCTTGAGGAGAGAAATACAATAAGCCCAAACTCGCCAAGAGCACTACTCATTGTCCGCCACAACGCGCTCCAAACGCGAGTCCAGCTCCAGATCTGAGACAAAATCGGTCTCCTGCAGCCATTTCACTGAATCCAGCTCGGAACTGTTCACATTTTTTGAGTAGCAGCTTACTTTGCCGTGACTTTGCGCCGTGCCGGTTATGGCACGTGTCGCGTGTCCTGAAGCTGAGAAAATCCCTTTTTCACGCACCACTGACTCGCAGCATGCAGCGCAGAAAAATTCAAAATGTTTGATCACTCGCCGCTCACTCGAACTTCATCGAAGAGACTTCAGACCTGTTCGAGGCGATAGCTGAGAGTTTTCTCTACAACATGGACCCTTCGATTGTTGCATTTGGTCAGGATTTGGCCGAGAGCCGAAAGTTTGACTGCGCCCACATGCATACACAATGCCCTTGGTTCGAAATCGAACCATGGACTCCAAAGGGTTAAGGACCGTTTTCCATGCACGGACAGTTCGACAGAAACTGCACCGGATACAGCGACCACCTGCCGTGCGTGTTTTTTATTTGAATTCGCAATACCAAACGGGCAATAAGCCCAATTACATGGAAGCGAGTAAAAGAATGCTAAGAATGAGGCATTGGGGTGGATATTATTTCAAGTGGAAATACTGATCCGGGAGGTACTACAAATAGGTACAATGAAAATCTGAAAAGGCCATCGACTTTTAGTGTGCCAAGTGCCATATTGGACCTGCACACAGCGACCAAAACCAGCCAAAAGTGCCATCTTGGCTGGCAGGGTTGACTGCAACAGGGTTGAAGTGTGCTCCGAAGCAAGTGCATGCAGGGAACACTGAACTCCACACCTGCCAATACGAGTCCATGGAGGTACGTGTACAATCATGCACATGTGTGTACACGATCCGATATGCTACGAATGTATGGGACCTGGTTCTAAAGATCACCTGGCTTTAACGACCGCTTTTGTTTGCACCGCGGGGTAGTCGCTTAAACCAGGTTTTACTGTATATCCAAAGCATCATTACGAGCAATAATGCATCACAGGGCAGTGGGGAGCGGTATGGACTGGGGTCCGGGTGTCCCTGGGGTAAAAAATACCTATCCCGACAAAATGAGGCAAACCCTAAAAAAAAACCCACTATCAGTGGTTGGCAGATATGCATCGTCATGATTCAATTAGGAAGGAAATGGGTACCGACCCTTACCAGATCACCAGAAACCGATGGTGCTAAGCCAAGGGCTCCCTGCCACTCTGGCAAGAAGAAATTCTTCGAGTCATAGACTGCTACCATCCAGGCTGAAACTGGCTTCAAGGTGGACAGTGATACGCGGGCAAGACCCAGGGTTCCACGCCAGTAACTTGTATTCGTGTAGAATCGATTCACGGGGGTGTATTGATTTCCGAAGGATGAAGATCTACCCAACACAGCAGAACAAACACAACTGAAGTGAGCCCAGCGGACTTCCACTCCAGATCTCTGGTAATTCTGAGTACATACACGTGCGGGGTTCCAGACCTTCCCTCTTCTACCATAATTATTAGTTCTCCTACTTGTGAACGCAGTACACTTTCATACTGAAGTAAGTATACCTGACCGGCAGCAGTGTAGATTAGCAATTGGATTCATCACTTAGAAACAAATCATTCGACTGTTCCTTGCGGGTCAGGTCCAGAGTGTCCTGCACAGACTGAGTTTACCCACTACACAACAAAGGTTACAATGATTTACTACCAGTACATGATAAGAATTTCAAGACTTGGAAGATTGGTGCGAATCAAGTTGAGTGAGAAACACGGCACTGGCACCAGTACACGCCGGTACACGTACATGTAGGTAAACAGTGATAACCGTGATAACCGTGGTAACCGTGGCTGGAGTGATAACCGTGGCTGGAGTGATAACCGTGGCTGGAGTGATAACCGCGGCTGGAGAGATAACCGTGGCTGGAGTGATAACCGTGGCTGGAGTGATAACCGTGGCTGGAGTGATAACCGTGGCTGGAGTGATAACCGTGGCTGGAGTGATAACCGTGGCTGGAGTGATAACCGTGGCTGGAGTGATAACCGTGGCTGGAGTGATAACCGTGGCTGGAGTGATAACCGTGGCTGGAGAGATAACCGTGGCTGGAGTGATAACCGTGGCTGGAGTGATAACCGTGGCTGGAGTGATAACCGTGGCTGGAGTGATAACCGTGGCTGGAGTGATAACCGTGGCTGGAGTGATAACCGTGGCTGGAGTGATAACCGTGGCTGGAGTGATAACCGTGGCTGGAGTGATAACCGTGGCTGGAGTGATAACCGTGGCTGGAGTGATAACCGTGGCTGGAGTGATAACCGTGGCTGGAGTGATAACCGTGGCTGGAGTGATAACCGTGGCTGGAGTGATAACTGTGGCTGGAGTGATAACCGTGGCTGGAGTGATAACCGTGGCTGGAGTGATAACCGTGGCTGGAGTGATAACCGTGGCTGGAGTGATAACCGTGGCTGGAGTGATAACAGTGGCTGGAGTGATAACCGTGGCTGGAGTGATAACCGTGGCTGGAGTGATAACCGTGGCTGGAGTGATAACCGTGGCTGGAGTGATAACCGTGGCTGGAGTGATAACCGTGGCTGGAGTGATAACCGTGGCTGGAGTGGTCTTTCTCACCCCAACTACTAGGGATTTTCATGACTCGGAAGTGCTGAGTAAAACCTTCTAAAACACCTCATCAATTATCAGCCACCTCTTCCAGTGGATTGCAATCATGCACCTGAATGATTCTTACTGCAGATAGCATACTACTTCACACCCGCACTTGCAGCATGCCGTTAAGCCTAGTAATGTTGCAGTTCCCGGCATGATTCTAGCACATGCGTGCATGCTTTGGTGATGGGTAAACCCCCTACGCTTTCAATGGTGCAGCTTTGCACATACAACGCGCTATCCTGCCTGCATGTGCTGATGGTGTTGACCCGATGTCTACGATCATACAGTAGGTGTGGATCTTAAAGGAGAAGTCAAGCCTAAAATCAATTTTTCACCAGCTGTAGTCTTCGGGGTGCTGAGTGAATGGTTTTGGTCCGAGGAAGCCGAACGTTCGGGGTGACAGGCCTCGACCAAAAACGAAATTTAGTATTGTAACGAACCTGCTGGTGGAGTGATCCAACGAAAGATTTCGTGAACGAAAATTTGTACTTATACAGTAGTAGGGCGCAGTCACCCAGTTTCGGCCCAGTCACCCAGTTTCGGCGCAGTCACCCAGTTTCGGTGGAAGTTACGAGTTCATTTGGGAATAAAGGAGGAAGGGAGCGTCTTAGCTTCCTCGGACCAAGACTCAGCACCCCAAAGACTACAACTGGTGAAATTTGATTTTAAGCAACCAGCCAGCCTTGACTAGAGTATCCTGAGCTGCACTCACTGTGACGTGTCAAAGTAGGTACTCAGCTTGGAAGCTGGATCACTGTTAGCTGATGTGGCGATGGGAAAGTCAGTACTTGCCGTATCCACCAGCACACGCAGCTGCAGCACAGCATGGGGTAGATGTCAGAGTGCATGGCATGTCACCGTAGGCTAGTCAAGTATAGCAGCAAGTACTTGTACAACCATGCATCCATACAGATTGCAGCATTTTATTAACATAATAATAATAATAATATTAACTGGTTTGAGGGAAAGAGACAAACGGGAAAAGTCTGAAGAAAAAATTGACTGCCACCACCAGGACTCGAACCAGGGACCCTCGCTTGTAGCCAGCGATGCTCTAACCACTGAGCTATGGTGTAGTCGTCATCCCAGCAGAGGCCGTTCAATGTTTTCTTCAGATTTCGTAACTCACACTTCCTGTGAATCCACACAGGCGGGTGGGACGCAGCCCTCACTGTAACCCACACACTTCACGTACAAACTAGCACGCGGGGAGCCCCAAGTCATAAAATATTAACTGGTTTGAGGGAAAGAGACAAACGGGAAAAGTCTGAAGAAAAAATTGACTGCCACCACCAGGACTCGAACCAGGGACCCTCGCTTGTAGCCAGCGATGCTCTAACCACTGAGCTATGGTGTAGTCGTCATCCCAGCAGAGGCCGTTCAATGTTTATAATAATAATAATATTGACTGGTTTGAGGGAAAGAGACAAACGGGAAAAGTCTGAAGAAAAAATTGACTGTCACCACCAGGACTCGAACCAGGGACCCTCGCTTGTAGCCAGCGATGCTCTAACCACTGAGCTAATAATAATAATAATAATAATAATAATAATAATAATAATAATAATAATAATAATAATAATAATAATAATAATAATAATAGTGCTGAAACGATTACGTTTTTTCCTTAGTGGCTTAGCTGATACCATAACGATCGGCTTATCGGCTAAACGATTATTATTGTAACCACATCAGTACATGTACATTCTGTGAATTTCCAAAAATTATGAGTCCAACATTGCCAACGACGGAAAGCGGGCGCATAGATCCGATGATCCCGCAACAAGTCCGTCAGCTTTTCGGACTGACCAGACGAATACAGACAAGACAGAGGCAACGCACTGGTTGCAACCCAAGAGCTGATGGTGCCCTTCGCCTGTGACTTTGCTAACTCCGATGATGAAGTCAGAGAAGCCGGCCAGGGGTGCAGATCGGCGGATTTCGACGGATGAGCTGACTTGAGGCGCACCAACAAGTAACTACAAATTGTAGTTGCTTTTCCTGTCTATGCTCAAAATAGGCCCAGACGCCAGGCCTAGCTTGTCGTCGAGCAAACTGATTCGGGAACCGTCGACAGAATGGAAAACAGGAAACTGAAGACCACTTTACTGTCTTTAGCTCAAGAATACTCGCACGTGGAGGGAACTCCAGCCCCTGCAGCTAGTGTAGACACATACTGAGCCTGCCCGTCCTGCATGCTGTATGTAAGAACAGTAGTCAGCTCAAAAGACGGCGAAGGTCATCGCGTCGATGTTTCTCAGATCGCGCTTGTACTTTGCACGTACATCGATGTTGCAAGTGTGCAGTCATGTACATATTCGTGTCGTACTCGCAACACTTTCGATGCATGCACGCTTTGTGCGAGCCCCAAAAGGGGGGAAATCCAATACCGAGCGTAAGTACCATTCTACTCGTTTAGCCGATAAAATCGAAATAACCGTTCGATCTATTTCTTATCGAGTAAGTAACGAGTAATCGATATAATCGTTTCAGCACTAAATAATAATAATAATAATAATTTTGAGCTCATATTTTTTATAATAATAATAATAATAATAATAATAATAATTAGGAAATTTGAGGCCACATGCCACGTAATGCTCTTTTCTCTCCGAAACTCAACACTTGCAAGCCAGATATGAAAGAAAGAAAAAATCATCAGTCACACCACCGGGACTCGAACCAGGGACCTTGCTATTCGCGAGCAATGCTCTAACCAACTGAGCTACAGTATGACTCTTATCCACAGTGATGGCAAATCTATCCTTCTTCGATCAATCAATATCTGGCTTGCATCATACTGGCAACTCACACCAATCAAGAGGGCCCTCGGCCATTCGCTTGATATCATGGGGAGCGCATCAAACTATGTCCACTGCGAGCAAATACAAATTGCAATAAAAGTCCAAATTTGAAATTAATAATAATAATAATAATAATAATAATAATAATAATAATAATAATAATAATAATAATAATAATAATAATAATAATAATAATAATAATAATAATAATAATAATAATAATAAACACAGCTCGCATCTTCCCTGAACCTGTTATACAGGAGCAGAGTCGACGCATCTGTTTTGTTTGTTTGAAGTTTTATTTTACATCGCAAACCAAACGGGCATTGATGCCCAATATTATGATGGCGATAGAATAAAAAGTGTAGCTCGATAAAGCTTCACTTGCGAAAATGAGGAAACAGTCAAAAGGAAGTATTTGTACCGGTAATTACAAGTCAAGTTCGAACGAAGTAACAATCAGGGAGAAATAGGAAGATGAGGACCTATGCCAGAGGGAGGTGCTATTCGGCCATATTAACCGTAGAAAAACACTTTCAGCAATCTTTTAAACGGGGTTGGACGACGAGCGGACGTGAGTTCCTGTGGCAGGGTGTTCCAAAGCTTCACGGCGGAAACCAATGGTCGGCTGTCGCCAGATGTTCGCCGAGTTAGCGGAACAACGTATTTGCAATTGTCATTGCCACGGGTGTTACTGGGAGGTTGGAGGGCTACTCTATCTTTCAGAAGAGGGCTGATGCTGCTGGTGTGGACACGGTGCATAAGGAAACGGAGTTTGCATTTGGCACGTTCAATTACAGGGGTCAGGGAAAGGCGAGTGTATATAGGAGTGGTATGGGACAGGAAGGGCAGATTGGCTACGCAGCGAACACATCGCTTGTCGAGGACAGTGAGCTGGTGCCGCTGCTGAGCCGTGAGGGCAGAGAAGAACGCGTTTGATCCATAAAGCATGTCAGGAAGTATAAGGGCAGAATAGAAGAGGAGCGACTGGCGTTCAGATAGCGACGGGCGGATGGTTCTCAGGGTGGTTAGCTTCTGGGAAGTTTTACGTACTATGCTGGAGACCTGCGCGTCCCACCGAAGACAGGAATCGATCTGTAGGCCCAGAAAGCGAGCAGTGGTGGTCTGGGTGAGAGGCGTCCCGTTGCAGTTAACGTTGAGTTCCAGGGTACTACGGCGTGATGCCTCAATGGCTAAGACCTGCGTCTTGTCAGGGTTTAAAACCAGGCCTTTCCCGTGTAGGTAGTCAGCCAAGTTTGACACAGCAACTGATAAGACTTGATTTAGGGTTGCTACGGATCTGCTTGCGGTGTCGAGAAGGATGTCATCCGCAAACAGCTGGGAGTGTGCTGGGCTGGTGACGCTATGGACGTCCATGGTATATAGTGAAAACAGCAAAGGACCCAGTACACTACCCTGAGGGACTCCACACTCGCATGCAGTTAGGCCCGAGCACTGCCCACTCGCCAGAACTACTCTCTGTCGACGGTCCGTGAAGTAGCTCGCAAACCAACGCAAAACAGTCGAAGATACACCCAAAGCAAACAAATCTTGGATCATGAGCTGGTGCCGTACTTTATCGAATGCCTTGCTCATGTCCACTAGTACTGCGCCAGTATGTAGCTGGTGGTCTGCTGACGACAGATAGCGGTCCATGGCCAAGGTCAAGGCGTCTTCCGTGGAGTGTTGTGGCCGGTACGCAAACTGATTGGCGGGCAAAAGTGAATGGGTTTGTAAGAAGTCACACAGGCGTTTGTGGACTATCTTCTCCAAGATCTTCGATGCTATTGGCAGCAAAGATATGGGACGGTAATTGCGAGATGCGTTCTTGTCACCAGACTTAAATAGGGGTCGAACATTTGCAATCTTCAGGGAGACGGGCACAATGCCAGACGAAAGGGATGCATTAATTAATATGGATAGCGACGGGGCGAGGGCTGCTGCACAATGCTTCAGGATGAATGCCGGAATACTGTCGCTGCCCTCAGCTTTACGAGCATCGAGTCTCACGAGAAAGGTGAATACCTCCTCAACACTAGTGGCCTGGAATTCCCGCAAAGGTTCCCGTGGTGACGGACCACAAGGTAAGGATAGCTGCACAGGTCTACTTGGATCGGAGACTACTCCACTGAATTGCTCGCTGAGTGCTGCTATACTGACAGAGGGTGGGGTGGGAGTTTTGGTCCGGCCGCTGAGCTCGTTTATTGTCTTCCAAGTGAGGCGTGCATTTGCCTGACTCCGTGTGAGAAGATTCTTGTAATGCTGGGCCCTGAGGCGTCGGGACATTCGCTTAGCCTCGGCTCGTGCTGATGTGAATACAGTTCGTAGATCCATGTCAGTCGGCGAGGCTCGCCAGCGACGATGTGCTGCGTTGCGAAGTAGAATAGCGTCGTGGAGGGCAGGTAATTTCCAAGGACAGGGCGTGCGGGAGGAAGATTTAGGCCGATACGTTCGGACAGGAGCGTGCTCGTCCAAAACGGAAACAATCTTGTCAGTCCAAGAATACCACATGGCATCCACAGTCTGAGCGGTTGAAAAATTCTCCAGGTCACAATGATGCAAGTCATGAGCGAATCGGTTCATATCGATCCTTGCAAGGTTACGACCGCACTTGACAGCAGGAGGTTCCATAGTGCACTTGAAAGGTAGGTCAATTACGACCGCAAAGTGGTCGCTGATGGTACAAGGGAGAACCGTGCAGGAGGTTATCGCTCCATCCACAGCTAGGGCGAGATCCAGTGTTGTTCTGCTGCCGTGGGGGGCAATGCGGGTAGTGTCCTGCACCTTGTTGCTGATATTGAACTGGTCGCAGAAGCGATGTAAATTGTCGAGCTGAGGGGCTTGGCGCCGGCTTACGTCGACATTGAAGTCGCCCGTTAAAATCAGCGGGGACGATGGCATTGACGCCGCTGCTGTGTCAACTGCGTTGGACAAGTCCTGCCAAAATTGTACTGGCGTGCCTGGAGGTCGATACACTCCTCCTAGGAGAATCCGGTTTCGATGACTTCTGATCTCCAGTAGCAAAAGTTCTATGTTGGTGTGGTCTCCCACCACTTGTGCTTGAAAGCGATTGTGGACATAGGCTGCTAGGCCACCTCCATGACCGGGACGATCCCTCCGGAAAAGTGCATGGTTAGGTATGCTGAGCAAGCTGTCTGCGGTAGAGCTAGATAGAAAGGTTTCCGCCAGTATCATGATATCAATGTTTTGAGATCGTATGAAATCCTCAACTTCATGCTTTTTATTAAGAAGGTGGCACACATTGAGGAACTCTACTCTAAGATTAAGACTAAGGCCGTTGTTGCTGTTTGATAAAGGGGCTAAATTAGGGGTGTGTGGTCTAGGATGGAATGGGATTGCATTAGGGTTTAGTGGGGTGTCGGCATTCATGATGCGGCTGAAGCTGAAGCTATCTTGTCCAAGGCGAATCTCCACTCTCGTGCACGCACCTCCGCTGGCCAGAAGTCTTCCTGCAGGGCTTTGTCGATTTGATCTGCTGGGATCACGACATGTGCGTACGCCAGTCCGAAGTACCGGGATTCTGACACACTGCACTTCATGACTGGCAGGTCTTTTTTCTCGCACCAACCTACTATGGAATCAGCACTACATCCCATGTGGACATTGCCAAGGTGAATTGCGCGGCATTTTATCCGAGGGGCTCCACGAAAACTTGCAGGAGCTTTGGGTTTGTGCTGATAATACGAGGTGACAGTGGACTGGCCTGGCTTGTGTGCTACTTCACGGCTGGCAGTGGTAGTCTTATTTGCCAACGTGCGTGCAGGGTTTCGCGGTTTTCTCCGTTCAACGTCCTTCCACTCAGGTTCGACCGGTACGGGACCACATGTTGGTTCGCGTGGTGTACTCGTGTCAGTTGTAACCCCTGAGCTGCAAGCATTTGAATACGAGTTGCGTGTAGCAGGCCCTGAGTCAGATGTGCGTGGGTTGATCACTGATGTGGCCGTGGAGGACGTGGACTGGCCTGTTGGGGTACATGTACTCGTACGCAATTTCTGAACTTCCTCCCTGAGTGCCGCCACTTCGATTCTCAGGGAATTGTTGTCAACAACAGCTTCTTTCATGGCAGCCAATTCCTTGATCAAACTACTCATGATCCCCATGAAAGATTCGCCACCGCAACAACTATGGTCATGACACATGCATGTCAACAGTGTCAAGCCAAGTTAGTCTATCTCCTGCAGCTTGGAGAGCGCTCTCCACGGAGAGATCCGCTGCCTTCAGGTCGTGCCGAATCGTATCTATCCACCGCAATGGCGGACGGTCACGGGTTTTTTTTATGTCGTTTGTGTTGATTGATAGCATACGCGTTGAAAATGTTATATACAATGTTTGTTTTTATAAATACAGTGCAACCTCCCTTGTCTTGACACCACGGGGCACGTCAACAGAGGGGTCAAGTGCTGAAAGTCTTCCTTTTCGTAGCACCAGTCAACTGAACGACTTCACCACGCATAAAACGTCAGAACACTCAGATCATTGGTTCATTAAAATAATCCAATTAATTATTTGAGGCCGGAAACTAGTGATGTGTTACATGGCTCTTATCTAGTGTATTTCCGAGTTACGGATGGCACGCGTACGGTCAACCGGCTTCCGTTACGAGGCGTCCAGATACTACATGTATAAAGAAAGAGAGGTTTTATTGTATTTACGGACGGCCCCGACTAGCCCCAGTAATACTAATAGGCCTAACTCAACTCGTTACTGACCCGCTGTGTCGGTGTTCCGAGTCCGATGTCCAAATTGTAGCCACTGAATGTTGTGCCAGAGAGCTTGCTAACGGTCCGAGCATGGCACACGTATACGGCATTCAGACCGCACAACGACAGAAGAAGCAGCTCTCGTAGCGCCATTGCCGGCTGAATATTCGCCTGCTGCTGTATCCTTCACGAGTCAGCAATGTCAAAAAGCACTCTAACGACTCAATTTGCCCCTATCACCTAAGTCCTTCGCAGTTTACAAGTCCTGTAGTGGTTCTGTTTGTTCGTCATTGTAAAACATGTTTCTGAGCTGAAGCGCTCCAAGACCGTCTGTGGGCATACTACATGTTTGTCCACTTTGACAGACGAATGACTTCGCTAAGCTCTCTCTTTGTCAGACCTTGCGGAAGAAAATAATTAGTCCGCGTGAAGTTCTGGCCGACGTGATACTAGCAACTAAACTCAGTTTGCCTGTATGATTTTGGCATAAATGCGTGGATCGGAGGCATGGCAATGACGGATGTCACTATGGAGTGTCAGTCAGCAGAGCCCTGATTTACATCATGTGCATGTAGCCACGTCTTGAGCAGTTGAGGCTTGAGCCACTGAGCACCTGTGATACTCCGGAAACGGGGGCAGACTCAGTGCAGACAGTGCCATGCCACGACTGTACGCGGTACCTCTATCTGGGGGGGGGGGGGGGGGGGGGGGGTATGTACTCTTGCGAGTCTTGGTCATCATGGACATGGTCAACAAAGTTAGTTACATGGCAGTCATATCCGTCACATAGCCAGGCGAAGTCCACTGACTGTTTCCGTAAGGCAGGGTTGGGTCATTCAGCCTGAGACACCATGACTGTAAGTAACCATAGTGACGTTAGAGATTATAATTATTATTCATTCAGGGTGAACATGTAACCGTGGTCACCGGTCCTGCAGCACATGCGTACACACCAGTGCTAGCAATAACGGGAATCAGGGCCGAGTCGTGTCTACATGAGAATGTGAGGCGGTGTTTACCAGTTATTTGCTGTGTGAACACAGCTGTACACATGCGCACACACTGATCGTACACAGACACGATCGACTGGTTGCCACTCACCCAAAACGGCAAAAGTCCACAACGCAGGTTCTTTCTGTAGTATTATTCTCAATATGGACAAGGAGACATGGATGAGTAAACTAACGAGGAGCAAGAAATGCACAACCAGTGGGAGAGTCTAAAACAAGAGAAGTCCCGAGCCAGTGAAGCATATCCGCAAAGTTGTTTTGTATTGTGATGCATGAAAACTGTTTTTAAATACATATCTTACGAAAGAATCTACAAGAACTCTCAAGTCAAAACTGCAATTCAAAGCGTAGCGTATCAGTCGTAAGGTCGGTGTCATTGCATCAATGTTGTTTCTATAAAGACGTGCAGCACGCTCTAATGTTATAGACTATAGTCATACCTGCACAAGCCAGCTTGTCAAGTGAATACATAAGTTAGTGCAATATGAGTTACAGTGCTGCAGGCTAGGTCATGCACGGTGCACTAGTTAAGATAACAGAGAGAACAAAGCGGCGTGGGCAGCAGCAGCTGGCAATATTCCAAACTAGCACTGTACTACACTTACCAGCTATCCCCGGCTCAAGGCAAAGAGGCACTGTGGATAGCTACACGTCTAGATAGGCTGCACTATTCTCAGAACAATGGCGTGGACATGCATCGGATGGAGAGCAGCTTCTCTACGCACCCGTGACCATATTCAGTGATAGCTGTACGATACTTGAACTGCACTCCAGTAAACAGTGGAGACATGCGGAGTGAAGCCACTATGAATCGCTGTCCTCCAACAGATGCTTCGAGTTTGTGTACTCTCCTAGCTGGGAATCTGTGGCACCTCGCCCGTCTTCATCACCACTTTGAGTATCATATCGGTCCGCATTGCCACTGCAGCACTTGCGGTTGAAGCACAGCACGCTTACAAACACAACCACGATAACACCGATGCTCACACCAGCAGCTACAGCGATCACCTGGCTGTTAGAGCTCTTCGCCGGCTGGGTTGCATGGATACAGCTGGCATCTGTAAAACAGGACAGAAGAGCAACAACACTACTACTATGCTGTTGAAGATCTCAAAGGTGGTGCCGTATGTACAATGCAGTTCACAAGGACTATGGAATGATTGTCATGAAAACTGGATAGCTGAGGGGGATGGCAATAGAGGTAAATTCACCAACTGCACCCACTGTCATACGCACATAAGCAGGCCTGGAGCCAGCTCCTGCCGGGTGTCACGGCCCCAGGGCCGCTCACTGATTTCCAAAGCCGGATTTCAGTGTCAATGGAGGGTGCATATCATTCTATGTAGCTCTATGTGGCATCGCATCTGGCTGTGTCAGCTACCCATACTGCTAGCAATCAGCAGATGGAGTCCATGTGCACGGTTATCACAGTACTTCCCAAGGGACACGCCGCCTGAGACTGACAGTTTTGGAGGGAGAGGCTCTAGCAAGGATAGTCTTTTAGTACGTACATGCAATTAATCAGGCCCTGGACAATCTGTGAAAACTGGAATTGGTAAAAACTGGTACGGCCAAGTCCGCACCAGCGGTGCCGCCGGCCCTGATAAGATAGCAATCTAAGGTAACTTGTCAACCCACAGCACCCCCCCCCCCCCCCCCACCCCCCACCCCTTTGCAAATTGGTGAACATGCTACTTTTCTATACCATGACTTACTGCTTTTAACAGGAGCAGATTGAACCACAGCAGGTTTTTGAAAGTTGGCGTCTCTCACTGTAAGAAACAGCACCGACAGCAGAGAAAGAACCAACACTTGAATAAGGTCACGCTTCTACAGTGACTAATGAAAGGAGTTTCTTGGACATGAATATGATCTGCCACTGCTCTTTAGTAACTAGACGGCTCTGTGTGTGAAGACTCCCTTTAATTCGAACCTCTAGATTCCAGGCTCCAATTTTGACTTATACAGAACTTCTAAGACTAATCCGTTGATCCCCGAGCTGCAGAGAGTCAATGTCAGAGACAGAGCTTAGTAAGACTACCGTAAAAATGCCGCCAGAGCGCCCCGTCTCGCGAGAGCGCCCCGTCTCGCGAGAGCGCCCCACCTTGATTTTACAGCCAAGGGAAGAAAATCGTATGGCAGAATGCTACTAAGTTTGTACGATGTGAGAACCTTCGTGTACTAAGGTCACACTTGGTATGCTTTTATGTGGAACTCGAAGGTAAAGTGGGTACGGATTGCCTGCACAATGTGCAATGTTTGTACAAGGTCCGTGTGACCTACAGACAGGAATCCACCTCCACAAGGCGGCCACGAAAGGACGAGATGGTGGGGCGCTCTGGCGGTACTTTACGGTAATGTGTGGAATCCTGATAATTTGAACCCCAAATTGCCGGGAAAACCAAATTATCTGGGTGTTCTAATAAGTCGGAGTAATTACCCAAACCTGTACCCACAACTTACTGCATTTCTCCCTCTTAGCATTATGATTAAATAAAGGGGGGGGGGGGGGTGTCAACTGATAACCGCTCTATTTAGATGCTATTCACTCTTGGCACAAGCGCTCGATGAAAATTCTTTTATTAGTGATGTCGAAAAAAATATTGACGTTTCGGGCCAGTCACCCATCGTCAGAAGTTACATCACTAATGAAAGAATTTTCATCCAGCGCTTGTGCCAAGAGTGAAAAGCAACTAAATAGAGCGGTTGTCAGGTGACTCCCTTTTATTTACAATGCAGTTGCGTGATGTCCACCACTTTCTGAACTAGCATTATGATTGTATGTAAAATGTTCACATTATCACACAGCGATGGCGATCTTTGAAAGAAAAGCTACGGATCTTCTTGAAGGGAGTCAGCCTGGAAGAAGCAGCCATCAATCAAACATTTGAACTACAGCTCCCTCAGTTGTGCTTGACTCGAATTTCGAAACAAGACGGGTTTCTTGAATGGCATTACTGATCATCGAGAGGATCAAAGATCATTTTCAGCTATTTTCAGTTCGAGAAAGATCATACAATCAATTTCGAATTGCGGTACATACTTCGAAATTCACCTCTCGACTGTACTGTAAACTGCCCTTCTGCACGATGACAAATCTCGAAATATCCACCGGGCGCACTTCTTTACTTTGAACTGCGCATCGAACCATGCCGAATATTCGAATACTGTAAAGTCGTGTATAAAACCCTCGGCTTAGGGGCCATTCGTAAATATAGATATTTATTTAGAAACGAAAAGTAGTCGTTTAGGGGGGGGGGGTTGAGCGCCTGTTCGTTTCTCGAAAAATATCGATGTACATTTTACATGTGTGAGCATGTCCAGAAAAAAGACCAAAAATATCGATACCATGTACCATTTGTATGTGTTCGTTTCTCAGGGAGGGGGAGGGGGATTGAAGAGAAACGACTAGTTTTCGTTTCTAAATAAATATCGGTACTTACGGAAGGCCCCTTATCATAAATGACTTTTTGGGGAAATTTTGCAGGCTTCTATATGAGACCAGCTTCTATACAAGATAGATGCATGTCAACACTAAAACCAGGCTTATGTGCCGACAGTATATTATCTTGAAAATCAGTATTATATGAGACAGGCTTTAATACAAGACACTACGGTATACCGCATTCAAATTAGAGGGAGTCTGCCTGAGCCTACATTAGAGAGTGGAGACAAGGTACCATCAGAAACGACCCATCCAAACATCCGCCTCCCACTGCCTGCCCAAGCGTGCACTGACACACATCTCCTACATACACACACTGGTGTAACATGTGTACTTCATACTGAGACATCCTTACAGTACAATATACTCTGTGACTCACTATTCGTATTTCCTGTTCCTTTGCCATAGTAATCAGAACCCATCAGGTATAGAAGAGTGCATGCTCCAGTGGTTCTTGTGTCTTCTCTTTCTCCTATGATAGTCTTCGTTCTACATGCCATATTCCTTACTCAATACAGTCAACTTAGCGAATAACGACATTCGGCGGGGCATCAGAAAAGTGTCCTTATTCGCGAAGTGTCCTTATACCCGAAGTCCCATTTGAATGTATGTGTACCCATATTTTTGCATAGTATGACATGCATATCAAAATGAAGCTCTTTTCATGCTCTATGCCAATGTGAACTCTATTTTCATATTACAATTGAAAGGAACTATAAAGTCAATTTTAAGGGAAAGAGATTGGAAAAATTAGCCTTTTGCAAGTTTTGGAGCCATCTACAGTTGTGGCAAGTGAAATCCGACACTTGCCATAGGGGACAGCGCCTCAAATGGACATCAATGATGTAATGCACTGCACCTAATTTGTACTATAGAGCCGCATGCATCCCAAACAGGTCGAAAGGTCACAGCTTAGATACACACAGTTCACAAACATGGTACACATAAGGAGTATTGGTATCCAATTCCCAGTCATTTTTGCCAGCACCTTTTGAACCTTGACTGTGATGAGTACGAATTCTGTCATCAGACAGATAAAGTTGTATGCAACACATGTGTAGAGGATATAACCCGAGTCAGAGGGTTATACCGGCTGAATATAAATCCCGACTGCGATAGCAGGAGGGATTTATATGAGGGTACGGTATAACCCGACTACGAGGGTCATATCCTACTTATGCCAGGTACCCCTAGGCCCTACGCATTTTCAGAACAACGAACATATTTGGAGATCTCCTACATCATGCAGTACCGTGATGAACATCTTCTGATGGTTATCAGTTGTCAGTTGAAAGAATGGTCGAGCAAGGTCAGAAGGAGATTCCTCCGTGGATGTTTGGCATAAGATTTCCTTTCTGTACCAGTGCTGATTGTAGCATCTTCATGATCTTGTCTTGAGTCGTGAGCGGTGCGGAAGTCGACTGAATTGCTGCGGTGCTGGAGTTTGTCGTTGAATCAAACTACCGTCACTAGTTAGATTACAGACTCTATGGGAGTAAGTGTTACTATAATTATGGTACAGAACTGATTTTCACATGCGGCATCTTATAATCAGTTTTGCTTGCAAGTAGATGCATTTGCATGCACTGTTTTGTATCACATTTCAATCCAATCTATTGTAGCCTTTTCCAATCGGGTTGAAGTACATGTACACTGGCATTATAAACTTATTTACGAAGGAGACAGTCTGTTGATGATCTTCAACTCTTTGAAGTACAATGTACATTGCTGACCCATTCGGGATACTTCGTGGTTATTCGACGTTCTTTATCCTCAGATTCAGTATAACAGAATACTCTGTAGACGAATTTCAGGTCATTCTTCTTTTCCATTGTGTACTGTTCCTCGTAAGTGTGCCGTTCTGTGTGGAGTGTGCACGTGCATGTGGTGTCCGTTGTGTCTGTTTATGTATGGTCCGTGCGCTGGAGTACTGCCGCCGTACAAGTTCACTGCCTTTCATGCAGTGAACATGTACGGTGGCAGTGCCCTAGCGTACGTACCGTGCACCGGGATTTATATTCTATATAAATCCCGCGCGGGATTAATACTGGCCAATATAACCATGGCTAGACGAGCGCTGATTGGCTGAAAACAGGCCCTCCGTACCGTACCATGGTATAAACTGTACGTATGCAGGGCTGCAGAGGCTGCAGGATGCACGGTGCAGTCCCTTATGCCAAGTGTCGGATTTCACTTGCCACAACTGTATATCTACATGTACATGACATAATAATGATTACTGTACAATCATGTAGATCTACATGACATTGTAGTTGTGCTGATCACTCCAACATGTATTTAGAAGCAAAAATAAATAAAAAGCACCCCCCCCCCCCCCCCCCCCTCTCTGGCTGCATCTTCTTGCATGTATGCCTTTAGGCCCTTTATCCATCGCCATGCATGGCATGGATTCTGGTACTTCTGCATGACAGGTACTTGAAATAGCTGTCAAAAGCCCAGAAAGTCGTTATTCAAGCAGTGAATATGACCTCGGAGCACTAAAAGCATGTCGTTATTCGCGAATTGTCGTTATTCAGATAGTCGTTGTATCCGAAGTTAAATGTATACAGTTAGATGGGACTTTGCTCTGGGCATGGAAATTCTGTCGTTATTCGCGAATTGTCGTTATATCCGCAGTCGTTATTAGCGAAGTTGACTGTATACTTCTGTAATAAATCGTCTTCTACGAGTCGTAAGGAGATTGTTTAGCCAGGAGCTAACAATGGTGCATGCCCACATTGCCCAGCCATACCTTCGCATGTGGATTTTGCAAATCCGATTCGCTTATTCTGCCTGTCAAACACGACATAGTATCCCTCCATTAGCACAGCACCAAGCACTGATCCTGCAAGGGGTGTCAAACACATAACCACAGCATTCAGTAAGGGTCCGTGGCATCATCCAACACCACAGCATTAAGTAAGGGTCCGTGGCATCATCCAACACCACAGCACCCAGCCTGTGCATGCATGTACAACTATGCTATTAGTATAGAGCAAAACGCACGGATATGCCTCCAAGTTCCCAGGAATCATCAAGACTATCACACAACTTCAATCAACCTCTCCAGCAGCTTCTTCGCAAGGATTGTACATGCATGTACGCTTCATAGTATAGGCACAGGCCGGGTGTAGCCCGGAAACTGCATTCAAAGTGGCTCCCAGCTGTCCGAGTGGAGGGACTCTGCTGCCTGACTGCAGTGTCCACCTACAGTCCGCACATACAGCAGTACAACATTGGTACTGTTTGGTGACCACAGACCACATTGGCTCAAATTCCTGGTATCCACCCACAGTCAGAGGTATTGTACTGTTTGGCAAGACTATTGGTTTAATGACCTGGCTGGTACACAGGCATGCGACCAACTGGTCAGCCGGGCCATGCCCCTGGACACAAAGGGGTAGAGACTCCAGGTGGGTGATTTCGCAGCCAGTGCATTTCTGGACCTGGTATTGTCAAGAACATAAACTGCTCACTTACCGTATTCAGAGGGCAGGACAAAGAATTTATAGCAGTCCAAAAGTCCCTTGGCAGAAAGCTCTGCTTGTAGATATAGCTAGAGATAGCACAGCGAATACACAGAATACATTCAAGCGGAAAACAGCATGTAAATAGACTTGGAAGTAACGGCAGATGACAGTAGCGATACACGGCATATAGTTTGGGATAAAAAAACTATCTTACAGCAGTGGAAGCAACAGGCACTTCGGCTACCATTACCAGCGACAACCCTTGACTGCATACCTGCCCTCCGGGTCCAACCTCACAGGCAACCAGGCTATATGCAATGCATTGCCCACTTAAGGTGGTAGAGTATGCATGTATCGCCTTCATCAGTTTGTGTATGTGCATGGTAAAGACAACACATGCGGTCGTTGGCATAAACATTACAGCACCTGAGGACTGCATCCTGATAGAAAGCCACAAGTTACAATTATCAACCATGCAAAGAAACATATCAATATGGCAGTTCTTCATAGGACAGTTTTGCACACGGCAGTGCTACAGCAAAGATCGGCATACTCCGGCGTACCTGTGACGGAATAACCAACTTGAACTCCTTAAACGCATCGCTGTCATCAGACATGGAGATGGTGATATTTGGGAAGCCACGGAATAGAGCATCACTTTGCGATGGCTGGATACAGCAGGCATCTGTACTTTTCCAGAACCCATCAGTCTGTGGACACTTCCTCAGGTTACCATCAATGTTGTTCTGTGCACACGGTGTACACACAAAGATAGGATAGCAATGTTTTTAAAAGTACAGATTCAAGAAACCTTAGCCGCTGACCGTACTTTCAATGTAGTGTGCTATAGCATATTGTAGAATCCAACAAAACTGAGAGAAAGAAGCCTCCGAGAGAAAGAAAGAGAGAGACGCACACAAATATAAGTACACCACATGCAATTCATCTGCTTTGAATTGCTGAGACATGCACCTTACCACGGCATATTCTCGCAGAATTGCGACGATCTGATTGTAGATTTTCGTTGGGAAGCGTAATCCTGTTGTCCCACTGTCCACTATTGTGCGCGGTGTGTTGTACTGTGTATGTGATAACAAAGTGGCGTGACACAGAAAACGTTCCATCACCACACATACTATTCTCACTGTAGGGCAACATCGCCGTATGCATACATGCTTGACAACTAACATTGTCTTGATCAAAATACACTACATAGGCTGAAAACGTGATTAGAAATCTGGATCAGTGTACTCACAAGTGATCCCATCTTTTAGCACACAATGGCCTATGCCGGTGTACACAATGGCCTATGCCCGGGTGTACACAATGGCCTATGCCGGTGTACACAATGGCCTATGCCGGTGTACACAACTTACAGACTGCAGCAATTGGGATGAAAGTCACTCAATTCTACATAAAATGCCTTGATGTACATATGTAGCACTGAGCCACAGCAGCAGCGGCCACAGCAGCAGCGGCCACAGCAGCAGCGGTCACAGCAGCAGCGGCCACAGCAGCAGCCACAGCATCATCATCATCAGCAGCAGCAGTATAAAACATTGCTATCACATGAGCATACCTCAACGCATGGATAGTCCAAGTCTTGCCCATTGACAGAGACCTGGTTCATCACTACTTCGTAATAGCCTGTTCGCACCAGTGGCGTGTACAGG